GTACACTACTGTAATAAAGCTAAATTGACAAAGCACTAAAGTCATTGTATTAGTATCCTTAACTGCTTCACTTTTGCTAACAACCATGAATCTGGTCCTTTGATATTTTGTAAACTACATCTTTGCATTGCTACTTCACATGTTTCATGTTCAAATTGTGTCTGTTTAGAGAAAAAGAATGTACCATTTTCGAAAGAATCATCCAAGGAGCTTGGTCACAATTTTGATTTTTTGTTCCTACCCCCAGAAGTTCTGATTCCATGGGTGTGTAGTGTGATTCAACAATCTCCTGGTTGATGACCACCCCAGGCATCATACATCAGTTACTATAACTAAGAAAGCAATTTAGAACCTTATTTGGAGTTCACAAATAGCAGCTACTCAATAAATTCTCGAATGAATAAATGAATCAAATGATCAGTGAACAAGTGAATGTTTGTATATCATCTTATGTGGTTGTATACTCTATCATCTGTTCACAATTTATAAATGTTCTTTTTACTACTTGCAGATATGGAAGTAGAGATCTATTTGTTTTTAAGGGACCATGATTGGATTCATGGGACCTATAGATCACACTTCGTTATTCCTAATTGATATAGACCTAAATCCTTGATATTTAGCATCTTCTCTTTCTGGCACAACATTAAATCCATAGCATTCAACTATCACCTCTATATGCAGCAATGCAGATATGAAATAATTCCTTTTCATATAATAACAATTTCTCCTCCTCCTATAGTTTCTTCTTCCCAGTATTTTGTCAGCAGTTTTTGAGAATACTAGCCACACCCTGGTCACCATTCCAAACAATTTAATCATCACATGGTATTTTACTAGAGGGAATTTGTAACAAGGAAAGAGTGAGTGAAACACATTCATTTACACTCATATCCCAAACTCAGAGAATTGGCTTTGAATGGTTTATTTATATTGTATTAATTTTCCTATACCTTGGAATCAATAGCTAATAATGATTGACTAAGTCTAGGGTGAGTTAGTAGAGGCCAGAATTGAATTATTAGGGCTATACATTAAAATGTAAGTAACCTCTTGAAAAGATTCAACCTCCAATTATGAAAGGTAGAAATTGGTTGAAAATAAAAAGCAGACCTGATCAGTCCTATTACATATAAGCAAAAGCTCTATTTTGAGTTTTATTTTAGAGATTATTTCTTTTTCTTCTGATTCTAAGTAATATTTATTTCTTGAAAAATTTAGGGGAAATTTAAAAACACATATCAAAGCAGCAGCACACTATCCACAATCCCATTGCTTAGCTATAACAACAATGAAACTTTGGTGTACTGTCTCTTATTCTCAGAAACTTAAATGTATTTGAAGCATATGTTTGTATCTGCTTTTCTCATTTACTATTCCAGTTTTAGAAATTTTTCATTTTTTTAAGATTAGAAAACTTTCAAGTGGGCATATAGTACTCTGTCATACAAATGCACTAAACTTTATATAGCCATCCTCTATTAATATATATTTATTCTTTTCTTTTTTTTTGCCTAATACAAAGTCAGATTCCTCATACATAAATCATTGGCTGTGCCTCTGATTATTTAACTAAAACAAGTTCTAAGAAGTGGAATTTCTAGGTCATATTGCCTAATTGCTCTTTCGTCAATTTATGTCCCTACCAGTATTGTTTGAAAGCACTCATCTTCCCACAACATCATCGACTTAGGACAGGTACAAAATAGTATTTAGATCCATTTTCTTTCTTTCTTTTGATTAGTAATAAGGCTGGAAAAAAATTCAAGCTTTAATTTCCTCTTTAATGTATGTTTTCAGGATTTGAGACAGCTTGGGGGAAAAACTTTATTGGAAAAATCTATCCCAAGTAAGTTTTTCATGGGATATAAAAGTCACTAGATCAACAATGGGATTAGTGAAAGACTTGAGATATTCAAATGAGATTAATCACCTGACCCTCATGATATTGGCCAGAGAACACTGAGAAAAACAAATGAGAAATTGTGAAGACAAGAGTGACTCTATCCAAAAAATATCTTAAAAGTTCAATCTATTTGAGATCACCAGAAAGCAATCTATAATGGTTAAGACCATGGGTTTCAGAATCCCACAGCTGTGAGTTAAAATCCCAGCTCTGCCATTTATTTAGCTGGGTGGTTTTGACCAAATTATGTTTCTTCACCATAAAGTGAGAATAACAAGGCAATTTCATAGGATTGTTGTGAACATGAAATAACAATTTAAAAATTTATATCCTAACTCTTTGAAAAGAAGGAAATGGTGGGTGTGAGTAATAGTAGTAAAAGTGGTTATTGACAAGTTATGACTGCTGTTATTCTTATGCGGGACCGACTGATACAGAGGCGAGGTCAACAGCAACCTTTGTAAACCTAAGTGCTGGGGTTGGGAAAACTCCATAAAAGTGTCCCCTATAAACAGTCCTCTTACCCCCCACAACTCACCGCTTGCCCTTACTGCCTGAAACTCTACCTTAGGAGATTTGCCCACTTAAACGTTTTATATTTTAGAATAGAAAAACATAGAAAGATGTGACCCTGTTTTCAAAATAACCATTTATACTTCAATGTGAATTAGTGGATCAGATTCTGAGTGCAGATTTTAGTAACAAGAAACTTGAGAGTGCTGCATGCCTGAGAGGGGCAGTGAAGAATTATATATCTTGGGGTATCCCTGACTTGGGAAAGTGGCAAGCCATTGGTAGTGATGTATAAGAGTGAGGAAGGAAACAATGTATTAGAATAGAGAATCTGTCAGTTCAGAGCTGAGTACAGTGAATGTATTTGTAAAATAATTTATAGAGGAAAATGTACACATCGTGTTGTGTATTCAGTTGGTAAGAATAAAACGGGTTTTTTAAAACACTGAACTCAGGATAATAGATATCGTGTGAAAACACACAAGATAACTGGGGTGAGGCAGGAATACCACTGTAGGTCATGATAATGTATCAGAGGTACGGATTGCAGCTGGACATATTCAATTCTTGTCATTGGTCCTGGGGCTCCCTCTTCTTGATAATGTTAATTTAATAATAAAAGTCACATGGAAGCATGCATTAAGTGGCTGAACAAGATGTGGTATGGGAAACATTGAAAGTCAATCGTGTTATAGACAACAGGTGAGACCAAGAGTGTGTGAATTTGCATTGTAATAAAATTACTTTTTATGAGACAACAAGCTCCAGACCTTCTTGGGGATGTTGCAGACAAGTTATTCCTCCCTCTTTCATCATCAAAGTCAATGAAAATAAATTAGGTGGACTTACTGTGTCTCCACTTTGCTTCACCTGCTCTGCTGGAGGTACTGCTCAGAATCCCTGAAACAAGAGACAGAGCTCCTTCTCCTGGTGGCTTGTGTGGATTAGATTATGACACCAGATTTGTGCTTTTGGTCCTGTGGTATCTTGTGTCATTATCTGTTTCCCATTTACTTGCAATCACTGTGGAAGTTGTGACACACCCAATAGAGTTAGGATATTCAGAAGTGAGGACCACAACAAGGGTGTCTCCAGAAGGGTGGTACCAATTTTCTTTCACTTTAGCCAGCCACTCCTGTAGGTTCCAAGTGTATCATTTTACTGTCTCAGGGTACATTGTTCAACCATGGCTGAAGTCGAACTTAGAAGAATGCATTTGATAGCTATTCAAATACCTGAGTAGACCCACTACTTCCTGTTTATAATATGAGGTTGGGAAAAATAGAAATAGCAACTAAAAAATGGTGCTTTGAGGAATCAGGTCACAATTTGATCTTCTATAAGGCTGATCCTAGTCTAGCCATCTTCTTTCCACAATGAATAATGATGACCCAATTAATACAAAAACTGTTATTCACATTTCTTCCTCTAATGATAAATTTTAGGAGTCTGAAATTAAAATCCCAAGATTTGTTATTAGTGAGAAAGCTCAGACTTAAAACTTTGCCACCCCTTGATTATCCAAGAACTCATTATTGCACTTTCTTAGCGGCTTTTTCAATCCTCTGTCTTTCCTGCCTGTCCCTCAGATGGCTTGCCTTGATCTATTTTCTTCCTGATTTGCACTTTCACTAGAAGATGGATCTGGAGAGAAATTGAATTCAAATAATTCATTTTTATTGCTTATGGAGGAAAGTTGATAGGAAAGAAGTTGAAATGAGAGAAATGAGATTTTAAATCTCTTCTATAGATTTCATTTATTCCCTCCATGTTTATTGATTGTCTACTGTGTAATAGGTATAGTAGGGGATAGAGAGAGCATAAAGCCTGGCCCCTGCCCTCCGAGAGATTTTAATCTCAAAAGAGAGAAATGCTATATATGATTATGCTATCTTAGATCCCCCATTAAATAAGGTTGGTATAAATAAATACATATACATTAAAAAAGAGCTTCACCACCAGGAAGTTATAAGTGTTATATAGAAAGCATGGAAAAATTCAGTTTAGGGAAGTTTAGAGGATGTGTGATCAAGGAAGATTTACCAATGAGGGGATATTTGTCATAAGTTAGATTTGTGAGAACATAATGCCTGTGGTTAATTCAAATTCTGAAAGCATTATATATTGATTGTATAAAATTGGCAAGTACAGAAAAGCATAGGAGAAAAAAATCAAAATTACTCGTAATCCCAGCACTTAGTGAGATACCCATTATTGGATTTTTGCAGTATATTGTTGTAAGCCTTTTTCCTCCTTTTATGAGTGAATTTGTTTGTAGTTGTATTGTGTTAGTCAAGGTCCTGACAGGAAACAGATGGCATAGTCAACTTATATGAGTCAACTTATAAGGGCAAAACATCGAGGAACACAGAGGGGGTGCAGTAACGCAGGACTGGTAATAGTCAAGGAGCTGTTTCCAACCTAGACCTGTTAATGAAGGGATGAGGGGAGGATATGATTACTAGAACCTGGAAGGAGAGTGAGTCAAGAAAAAGCTACCTTGAGAGAAGCAGTATCCTTCCTTCAAGAGACTCAGTCACCCCAAGCAACTTCACAGGGAGAGAATCAAGAGAACACATACCTTGTTGTTCTCCTCTCCCCCATGTCTCAGATCGCACTCTGGGGTTTCCCAATGGCTGAACCCCACTGGAAAACAGAGATGGGCATAGAAGTCATTTCCTGGGGCAGAGGGCAAGATGGGGAAGAGCCCTGACTAAATGTGGAATGGCCAATCAGCATAACTTCCAAAATTTGATTAATCTCCACAGTTTTTTAACCTGTACATTGTGACTGTTATACATGTTATCAACTACTCTCCTATGATGTTGTTTTGGATCATTATGTGTTACTCCATAAAATAGATGACTATAAATTATTCAATGAATTCCCTACCATATAATAATTAGGATGTTTCCAGTTCTGTCACTATTAAAATTAATGCTACAATATATGTGTGGGTATTTATTTATCTAGCTCTATGTGTACATCTTTATTTTCTTAAGATTAATTCCAAGAAATGAGATTGTTGTGCCAAAGAGTATACTTATGTTTAATACTTTTGATGGATGTTGCAAAATTATCTTCCAGAAGACTATACCATGTAGTAAATTAGACCTTTGGTGGGTAAGATTTTTGTGGAGATAGATGGACTGTTGATAGATGGAAATCAGGAGTCACTTCCAAGTGAGCACTGTGAAGAAGGGAATGGAACCGAAAGGCCTTGTTGTATTCAACAAGATAATTCATCTAATTTGTCCTTAGTAGAAATAGCAACAGGGCTTAACAGTTCATTCATACTCACAGTGTTGGAAAGCCCCCGTAATAAGATGGACCAGAATGGTTACAGGTGGAAGCCTGGCACAGAATAGCTTCAGGAAAAACACACTGGCTATCTGCAAGTAGATTCAAGGCTGAAACTGGTATCATGGGGAGAAGTTTAAACTCAAAGTCAAAAAAGAAGAGGTACCTAGTAGAATTCTGTTCAATGATTACAGGGCAGCTTAGTACAAGAAAAAAAGGCCAGGGAGTGGTTTGACAAATTTTGGTCCAAATCATGGCTCCACTGTTTACCAACTGTGTGACTTTGCACAAGTGACGTTAGTCTCTTGGTTTGAGTGGGAGAGTTAGAGTTAGTTGAGTGTTAGAGACTTTTGTTGCAACTGTTTAGCACAGCATCTGGTACATGGTAGGGACTTAATAACTGGTCACCCTAAGAAACGAGTCAAGGAGAGGATATGGTCACCACGTCTTATACCCTATTTTATTGGACATTGGCCCAATTGGTGGGGGAAGGGCAGTACATTGACAAGCTGATATGGCAGGTGTTGAGCAGCATTCCTCTTAATGTTTAACAAACTGGATAGAGGTGTTCAGCCAGGAAAATAAGACAATAGCAGATTTCCCAAATAAAAATCCACAGAAAAATAGAATTTTAGTTTTCTTAAATGCTTTGGAGCCTGTTACCACTTATTTGCCTTTGGGCACTAGTAGAGGAATAATACTCACATGTTAGCAGTAAATCCCTGAAATATTCTACTGTGGATTAGTATACGTCTTTTATTTTGCCCACTCAGATTCCATTTACCCTTATTTGGGTAAAATTAGTACAGTTTTCCTCTAAAAAACTCCAGTTTTCAGCTCATGAGAATTGTGTGGACCTCAAAGAAGGGAACTTGTAACTAAAGCCTGCCTGTTCAGAGCCCAAGGCGTCCCTAACCCCAGTGACTGACTTAAGGGTGATGGGATTCAAGTCAATCCAAGCAGAGTGAAATCTGGGATTTTATGGGGCTTTTGCTAAGATCTCTTTTTTTTCCCCCCGTTGAGTTTAGGCTTATAAGAGTGAAAACCTAAAGCTGCTGGTAGCTATCTTGCGATCATGGGGTTGCTTGAAAGAGGAGCCAATATGGAGATGGACTGCAGTGAGCTAAGTTGAGAGGTGGAGAGAGAAAAACCAATTCTTGTCACTCCCTTGATATCCTGGATCTAACTATACCTGAAGTTAATCTCCCCTTGGACTTTAAAGTTACAAGAGACAATAATTTCTCCTTTTTCAGTTTCAGTTAGTTTGATTTGGGATTTTCTGTTATTTCCAACTAAAATAGAGCTGGCTAATACATACACTCAGTTTAGTAGTTTATTTTTCATGGACTGTGAGGTCATGGTTAGGATCTTAATTCTCCCCAGTTCCCATGATGGGACTAAAAATTAAATTTCATGCTATTCAACAGAGTTTGAGAACTAATAAGCTAGAACATGCTGGAGGTCAACACACCACTTCTTTAGACTTGAGAAAAAATTTTGTATCTTTTTTGCAATAGAAACTTCAGCTGAAAGGCTCTCATCACTGAAATATTGCACTTTTAAAATAAATACATATATAAGGCAAACATGTGAGGAATTTGGTGGAATCTCTCCATTTCATCAAAATAGAATCTTCTAAGAGGAGAGAAACACGCATTTGTTGGGCTTTTTCCCTCCCAAAGTTAGGATTGTCTGGCTCAGTGTACAATAAATCATTTGTATCTTTCTCTGTAGTCTTCTCATTCAGGATAAAAGCGACACATATAACTGCCAGCCCCAGTCCACTCACTGCAGACTGATTTCCTCACGGCTTTCATCTCAGCAGTTGCTAATGTCACAAACAGGCAAGCTTTGAAGTCAGAGGGAGGGGACAAGAGCAGCACAACTCCTTAACTGTATAGCAACCAGAAAACTTCTTCAGAAACTACAATTTCAGCATCAAACTCAGTTCAGGAGTTCTTGCTGGAGGCCATAGGTGTAATCCATGACAAGTGTCATGCGAGACTATTTCTTTCCTCTTTCCCTTAGTCCCAGGTATGAAGAGAAACCTTGTCCCTGTAGATTCTTGCACTGAAGCTGATGAGAAAGAGGGAGAAAGAATCTGGCCCCCTTGGAGAGGCCCTGCCCGCTGTGGCTGGTATTACCAGTGATTCCTCTGGTGTGGCTTTAGTGAATCAGGAAAGGCGGAAGCCAGACAGTCCTTGAAATAGAGAAGAAAGGAGGGAGATTTGATTTTGCTTCTTCCCATATGTACTTTCTTCTCTATTCATGTCCTGCCTTAAACAGTGGGGCATGAACAGACACTTGAATGATTTATGGATTGCTTTGAACTCTGGGTAAACGTGCTCATACAGTCTCTTGCATTTTTGTTTATTTCCTCTGCACTGGGTAGCTGAGAATAAACCCTAAACTACATGGACTGAGAGTGGGCAGAGGGAGGCAGAGATCTCAACAAATGAATTATCTTAGGCCTTTTCCCCTCCTCCTCTCCCTCCCATTCTTTCTCCGTGTTTTATGTGACTTTCCATCTTGGAGAAGGAGGAGGTGTGGAGAATTTCTTCTAAAAAGTGCCATTGTCCACACACTGAGGACTCCATGGCATGAAATCTAATTCCATAGTTCATAATTTCCCTCCTTTGCTCTCCTGTCTCTTAGCTGTGTGTTTAGATTTTCCATCTTCCTGTCTTGCTTCTTTCTGTTTCCCTCATTCTCTGTCCTTCTTGTTTTTAAGCAGCCTGTTCAAGCTTAACCACCAAACAACTTCATACAATCACTTTCCTTTCCTTCTCTCTCTCAGTATATATTTACTTCTAGCCTCTCTCTTTAGAAACCTTCCTTTTCTGAATTTCTTCTAAGCGCTGAGGCTCTGGACAAGGCCTGCCCAGGGTGCCTGTAAAGCTTCTTAAGGGAAAGGCCTTGGAAACTTTAATGGGACAGGAACATTCCAAGCTCGGCGTGAATGGCTGACAATCCACAATTCTCCTGGCATAAGATTTTTCCAAAGGCCTGTCCATAACACTTGCATGCCAGAACTTGGGATTTCCAGATGTGATATTAGGGCTATGGGCAGTTGGTTTGCCTACAAAAGCAAATCTGAACCTTACTTAGTTTCTCATAATTATTGAAAAAAAGCCATTTCCGTGACTTTCTCCTCCTTTTTTCCCACTTTTATTCTACTGCTTGACTTGCTCACATTTAGACAAAAATTATCAAGGCACTGACAGCATAATTATTTCACAACAATTAAGATGGTGGGTTACATCCGGGTCTATTCCTTCTCTGACAGAGGCTCACATTTCCTCTTAATGCCTGTTTTAAACATGTGGATGTCACTTCAAGTTTATTTGCGTATTCACGAGAAAAGCTATTTCTCTTCTTATCACCTAATTCCCAACATGGTTAGGTGTGATTTAACAATTTCTCGCAGTCCTGGTGAAGGGTCTGGTCAATTTCTAAAGGTAAGAAGTATTCAGGAAAAGAAACTATTGGGAACAGAAACCCCAACATGGAAAATGTTGCCGGGCAGGTTTCCGGAATGAGACAGTGTGCATCACACCCTGAAACTGGCCCTGGTGTGACATCCTAGGGGAAGGTTCCTATTCCAGCCCCGCCAACTCCCAACTCTGTGATCCTTAGAAAGTTACTGATAGCCTCTGCTTCTCAATTCCTCATATGTAAAATGTCATCTGGGAAGAATGCTATCTTGCAGATTTGTTGATAGGATTAGGTAAAATAATGTTTGTAAAGTACCCAGCACATTTGTATTTAAATTTCCATGAAATTTACTATGTGTCAGACAGGCTCTGCAAATAATCCCCCTCCTCCATTCCTCATAACAGTGCAGTGAGATAGCCCTGTTTTTATTATCATTCCCATTTTCTAGAGGAGAAAAAGGAGCTACCGAGAGGTTAACTAATTTGGTGAAAGTCACACAGCTAGTGACAGACCCGGAATTCCAACCCTGGCATCTCATCATCAAAGCCCACGCCTAGCCACAGGATGGCGCCTTCCATGTAATATGTTACTCCACAAATGTTAACCCTCATTCCTGTTTGCTGCTCATTCTGTTGTCATGAGTCCCTGTTATATCTTTTAGTTTCGAGACAAGGACATTGCTATTTTACCTGTAATGTGACTACCTTAACATGCCTTAACATTTGGCTGCTGCTTTTAATGTTATTCTGTTCATAACTCTATTCTTCTACACTTACACTCCCCAATCCTCCAACAACCTTCCACCCTCCTGCGCCAACACACATTTTATAATGCTGTATGGTTCATCTTTAAAGCTCCTTTTCTTGAATTTAGAGATCTTAAGTAGAACTCAAATAGAGTATAAGTTACAGCCCGTATCAAATATAGGCAAATTTATGTTTTGTAGTAAGTGTCTTGTTTTCTACAGCTACACTCTCAGCTGATAAATAAATGATCTGATTTATTGTAAAATTTTCCTGGGCTTGATCCTCATGTAGGTAACCCCAACCCACCAGACCTTCTGCTGAAGACTAGGCTTCCTACCTCATTCACTTTCCTCAGTACCCATTTTAGAACACAAAGTGGTAGGTAAATAAATTCAGCTGCCAGAATGTTTTTTAAAATGGAACGAGAATCTCTTTCTCTAGGGTTGGCCAGAGGCCCCACCACTCCCTTTTGTCTTACTTTCTACCACCAGATTCCTACCTTCAGGTTACCAGCCTGGCCCTGCAGTCATCTGAGTCTGTGATGAGTGCTTCAGCATTCGATTTCTGGATATCTAGAGGTAACTGAGTTTCAATCATGCTTCATGCCCCTTCCCCTGTTTCTAACTTTGCTTTTTCCTTGCCTTCCACCTTGTTTTGATTCTACCATTAGTCCCAGTCCCAGGTCCAAAGTGACTCTGGTTTTTCCCCACTAGTTGTGTGATTCCTGTCTGTCTTTGTTGTTTTATCACTTCTGGGTTCTGGTTCCTCAATGGTCGTGGGTCCCTCACTTGAACCCCATGTTTATTGCATCCCACTGGGCTAGACCTACATGCAGCCACGTGTCTGCTTCTTTAGGCCACCGGTTGACTCAGGGCCTTCCAATGCACTCAACTTCTATATTTCTAGGACTCAAGGGACTGTTTCTCCTTTTCAGCCTCCTCAGCTTTTTGTGACACTTGAGTCGATCTTCAGGAACTACACAAGCAAAACCATCAAAAGTCTTCTACTAAACGTCACTCTCTCTCTGTACTTTGGAATAAATTATGTGCACACTTCTTCTTGCCAAGCATTTACTGAAATCCTGTTACTTCCAGAGTGCTATTTAGGGTGTTGTAGTAGTAGCATCATTGTTTCCTCCTTGTGGCAGTTTACTGCATGTATGGGGAAGCTGGTCAAATGCCCCAAGCCTGGGTTTTTGGCTGAGTCCTAACACACACAATTTATACAAAAGAAACTTTTAGTCCAGCACTAGACTTACATTCCAAAATCTTCCAGGGAGTATGTGTAAGTTCTAAAAGGACACTGGAGTTTTTAAACTAATGCTATAATTGTGACTATTAAGCCTGACAAAGAGTAGCTTTTGTTTCCTTAACTCTCTAGTATCTAACCCGACATATGCCACACGATTTTAAAAGATCAAGCCCCAATAAATACAGGATGTTCTCTGTTGACTGTATATTGTGGTTAGCAAAGATGTTTTACACCAGTGCCCAAAAGACAGGTCTTTAATGGCCGCCACTTCTGTTTCAAGCTGCAGACAGTAGGGGTAGGTAGCAGTGCACATCTGAAAGACAGCTGAAGTTTTCCTCTCACGCTAGAGGCTTCACGGTTGGAAGAGGGCCATATTGGAGCTGTCTGGATTCTTTGCGAGCCTGCTCCAAACTAACATATTTATTATCAAGGAGGAAACCTTGCCTGATGTTAGATCACTTATGTTTTCCTTGCAGTGTTTTCTTGCAGAAAATTTCAAGAAAGTGATTGAAATTATTTTGGTGAGGAAAATTTTGGAGATACGCACCTTTGTCAAGGACAAAATCCTGAAAATATCCTTGCAGATTGGGAAAACTGGCTATTGGCTTATTACTCTATTTTCATAAGATAAATGATGCATCTGAAAAGATAAATAGTGACAGTGTATTAGGAGACAATGGTATTTTGTTGAAGGTTGGAGCTTTCTTACTACTTTAAATTATTTTGGTTATAAGGATAGGGATTTATTTATCAATGATTATTTGACCCAGTGCTTATAAAATATCTGCATTGTGTTGGTACAACACACAAATCTTTTGCAATGGTTTTGAGAAAACCCTGGACTTTTCAAGTCTGGGAACAGATGGAGCTCTAAACTCAACTGCATTTCACAACAGGGACATGTGTTACTATCTGCCAGTCTGTTTTCACTTTATGTGAGATACTCTGCTCTCTAGTCAGCAGAGTTGTTAGACTTCTATGAGTATACAAGCTTTTGAAGTGGCTGTGCTATACAGTTATAGAAATTAGGGAAACTCAGACCCAGTTATGCCCTTTAACAGTTCTTGGTAATTCTTAACTACCTTTGGAAAGTATAACCATCAAATATGTTTAACAAGATGAGCACTGTAGCATTTTGGTCACGTGCGTAAGTCTACAAGAAAACTTGAAGCCAGATGCTTTGAAAACATCAGGAGAAAATACTTCATTTAAATTCTAAAATTTCCTATTCTTATGTAGCTGGCTCAAGTCCACTGAGTGAGAACTAGTCAGTTGTACATGTGGGGCACCTTAGATATTGTGCATGTTTCACAACTTTAGCTGGTATTCATGAACTTCTCAGCATTTGATTGTGTAGTTATTTATGCTAAACCTTCACAGAGCAATCTCAGAGTGTGGAATTTAAAATCACCTCCCATGTCAAGAGAAAAATTAATTTTCCCCCTGTCTCTTTCTCTCTTCCCCACCCCCCACCCCCGATCCTGCCCTCCCTTCCTTTTTCTTCCTTCTCTTCTTTTCCTTTTCCCTCAAGTGATACAAATACTAAGGGGCCGAACTCATGAAAGTAAGTGTTGCCTTCACCAAAGAGCATAAAATTGTTGTGTCTCAATTTCTCATGTGCCTCGTTTGCCACGTCAAACCTAAAACTTACCAATGTTAAATAGTTAAATCATTTAACTGAAAATTATTTAACTCAATCAAATGCCTTATTATATTTTTACTTTGACTAGCTAAGACCCTTACTACCCATAAACTGATTCAACCTTTGTACATACAGTTGACAAAATGTTTTCAGAATGTATCTTTTCCATAAGAGGATACTTCTTAGCTAGTCTGTAAATATTGACGGGATAAAAGAATCAGTCTTAGAGATAGTCCTTTGTACAGGTTTAACAACAACATTGTAAATCATTATTAACATAGGATAAACTTAAGGATCCTTGTCATTGAGTGTATCTGAACCCTGAGGAAAATAGTATTTAAAATAGTCATATATTGGCATAAATGTTTCGGTATGTTCAAGGTCTTAATGAGTTTCTTACATTTCACGTTCCCAAGACTATAGTCTCTGAATCAAGCTTCCCAATTGTTTGTGTCATCACATCTCTGCTTTCCTTTGCATTGCCTGTGGAAGACTATACGCCAGCTGTGATCTGAAAAAGCTTTATTTGTTGGTTTGTTTCTTCATTGAATTCGTGGCACTAGGGGTAGAGGGGGTCTAGGTTGAACCTTAGCTTTTAGCCCTCAGCCAAATAAATATTCCTCTTCTGTAATTTTGTTTCTCAGGACTTGGACACACTGGCTGTTTTGCATGTTTTATGAATAGAATAGGCCATGACTAAATTTGATTATATAGTCAGTAACTAATTAGATATATATAATAGGGGTGCCAATTAAGCATAATGTAAAAACGTTCATGTTCAGGGGTGGCAAGACTAGGAGTTATGTTAGAGAGCTGAGTCTTTGGTGCCTTCGCTCTCTGTTGTGCGAAAAGGAAAAAGAGATGGTTTTAGACCAGTGGATCTCATGGTGTGGTCCTTGGACCAGCAGCAAGAGCATTTTCTGGGAACCTAGTAGAAACGCAAATTTGGGGGCCCTTCCCTGATGGATTCTATCAGTAGAGGGACAGGAGCTTGAAAGAGATGTCTTCACTCAGGTGTGCATTTGAGTGACCCTCAAGTTACAGAGCACAGGCAACCATCTGTTCAACCTAGTCAACAAGTTGCCTGGGACTGGAAGAAAGCTTGTGAAGTTGTATCTCTGTCTCTTGCCCAGTATGAAGGACTATACTCCCATGCAGCCATCCTGATTGAAAATAATCCAGTTTTAAAAGAGTCTACAGCTTTTAAAATAATTTACCCAAAATTTAACAGCCCTCTCCATCTGTAAATTTATCTTATGGCTTAATTAATGCAAACCATTCTCTTATCCTATTTTTAGGACACAAAAAATGGAAAATAGTTTAATATCTTCTTTTCCTTGGACATTTGAAAAACATTTTTTAAAGAGGTTGTTTGCATTTTACACTTCGTGCTTCTTCATGTAATCCTTTTTTTCTATGTTTATCTTTTCAGAACTTATTTCCCAACATATGTAACTCTATAGGAATTAAATTAGTTCTTCAATTGGAAATGTGGTGAGGCAGTCCCCCTTTTACATGAGGATAGAAAATGACAGTCCTTTGGGTACAAAATTAGTTCCTCTTAATCCTCCCCCAAGGTGTACCATTTTGTGCTCCAACTTGTATGGCCTGTAAACCTTGAGGAATTTTCTTTTCTTTGAACATTATCCAGCAAATCTCCTCTAATTAATTTAATCCCTACAGACATATGCTTGTTGATCAGTATAAATCAAGGCCAAAAATATCAGTACTGTTTGGAAAGCTCTGCTTTTGGCAAGAAGAATCTTGATCTATGTTGTTTAGAGCTCATGCAGCTAAGATACTTAGGGAGGGTCCCCCCCACCCTGCCCTCAGTTTATAGAGACAACTGGCGGGCACAGTGATCTTCAGGTATGTGCTCATCCCTTCTGACTTCCTTCTCCTAACCACTCATGAAAATTATTAACATTTTTAGATTTGCAGAAATAGAATAATCAGAAGGCCAAGCATCCTGAACGGTCACTTAATGCAGCCTATTTCTGTAAATCAGCTTTTCTCTAAAGGATAGCATGGATGAATGTCTTTTTTGTTTTTTCCGGGACTTCCAGACTTGAAGACCCAATTGTCTCTCTACATAACAGAGTTCCATGATTAACAGCACATTTTGTCAGGAAAGTCTCCCTAATGCGTAAGCTCAATGCCTTCAACTATAGCTCAAGATCATTGTCTCTGCCTCGCCTTCCTCATGCCTGAAAGTCCAGTAGTAAATCACCCCTTGGCTTTCTTCTCTCCTCACTAAATTATCCTGATTTCTTTCATCTTTTTCCATCTATCTTAGTTTCTAGCTTTCTACATTCCCCCTTATTTCTCTCTTAATTCTTTCTAAACTCTTCATATAAATCAGACTTAGTATTTGAGTAGGATCAAGGCAGTGCTGACCTGAGTGGGTAGATGGATTGTCTAATGATTCTCAGATATATTTTTATTCTTAGACTCCAGAGTCACACTACAAAATCATAGACTACTGTGGGTCCTTTATCCCTTCTTCACATACTTGCCTGTGGATTTAGATACAGCATTTCTTTTTCCTGCCTATTTTATATGTTGGTAGACAAATAGAAAACCCTCTTAGTGACTATTTTTAACAGTACAGAATTTGAAGTCACAGTGTCAACACATAACACTTTTCTCAGAGCAATTATATCTGAGGTTGGTAAACCTTTTTCTCTAAAGGACCAGATTGTAAACAGTTTAGGCTTTGTGGTCCATAAAGTAGCCATAGACAGTACATAAACAAATAGGCATGGCAACATTCCAATAAAACTTTCTTTATGAACACTGTGAAATTTAAATTCATATAATGTTCACATCACAAAATATTATTATTCCTTTTATTTTTTTTCCCCCATTTAAAAACTGTAAAAAAAAAAAAAAATTCTTCGCTTGTGGGCAGTGTGAAAACAGACAGAGGGCTGGGATTTGCCCTTGAGCCCTAGTTTGCTGATCCCTGAATTATATGAAAAGGAGAGTTTTAATGAAGTGCTGAAAACAGTTATCAAGCTGCAGCACAGCTCTTTGTCCTAGAGTGGTTGTTTCTGTCCCTCTCACCTGTATTTACTGTGGCCATCTTTTATGAATCAGACCCATTTCCACTGTTTTCAAATGTCTTTTCTGGCACTAGTTTAATGCCACTACACTACATTCCCCCTAGTAGAACACCTGGCAGGTATTCAGACAATGCTGAGTGGATGAATGAATGAATGAATGAATGAGTGAGTGAGAAGGAGCATGGGGGGGGGGGGAAGGAAGAGACAACCTAAAATAGAGGTCATCCGTTTTATAATTAGTAAAGAGGAAAAATAAATACAAGTAAACTCTTTGAAAGAAAGGATCACCTATTTGCCCCTATCTGAGTGTTTTTGTATTTTGAACAAAGAAAAAGAATGAATTGAATATAATTCAGTTGCTCTTCTACTTTTCCTTTGGTATTGCCTCAGATTTGGGGGCAGTTTTTAATTTTTAAATTTGTGTTCATATTAGGATGCAAACACCTATGCTATTAAAAAAAAAAAGATGTCATCCAGTATAATGAAATTATATTCCTATATGTTGCTAGTTCACTCAGCCAATAAGAATATTGGGTTAAATAAAATGAGGTTGTTGATTCAAATTTACCGTGAACCAACTGCTCTGACAGCAATAGACCTAACATCGAAATGTGAATAGCAGCCCAGCAAATGCTTGCTTTTGATAAGAAGGTCTAGGGAAGAGAATGTGGGTAAATGAAAAAACATTCTTCCCTGTAACTGTAACCGAAAACGTTCCTTATAACATATATCTTTGTACTCTGGATAAATGGTATTGTCAAATAAGTGAAGGACAACATGTTTAGAAAAATATTCATGATTTATTCAGTCTAATATGGAATACGAAATCCATCCTAGTCATTGAAAATCCATTTTTTATGAATTAATCCTTTTTGAACACTGCAAATCTGTATCATTATTGAATCTATATTTATACTTTTTTACGCATGTAGATATTGCCATAAACTTCCCTGGTCTTTTTGACTTTGGAAAAACAACACTGTTTTGAAAGCCATGATAACATGTATCCCTATGCTTTCTTCGGCTTAACTGCTTGAAGTATATATTGAACAATACACTGGAAATGTTTCTTTAAATAGGAAATAAAACATCCACCAATTCAGAGATGTCTAGGGTGCTTTGTAGTCTATAAAATATGATCAGTTTGCTCTGAAGAGTTTAGGCCCTTAAAGAGTGAGAGAACAATCCAATCCATATCCATTAG